TTGTATGTCTACTAAGAAAACGGCAGTTTCGCCTACTAGTTCAATCCCACCTCACAAGTATTCAAAACTCGAGTCTTTAGTGACATTGGATTTCGTTAAATTAAATCTAAATGTGAACATTATTGATAATTTGTTGACGGCACACTCAACTCTTGGAAGTGAATTGAATGATGTGCTGGATATGTTCCTGTTTTCGTCTAAAAGGCTTAAGGAACGTGGAGGTAATTTAAATGAGAAAGCTTCTACGTCTGTCACTGCAACTTCGCCTAAAGAAAACGATATATTATTTTATAACCTAACAATATCTTTGAGGGGTCTCAGAATATCAGCAATGAGTCCAACCGCCATTGGATTTTTTGAAACGAATATTCTTAATGGCCTTATTTCGAATGTTCCCTTGACAGGTATTGAAAAATCCCCAAAGGTTCAATGGAAATTTTCTGCGCAGAACTTGTCTCTGTCATTAAATCATAATACTGGAGTTATAAGTCAAGCAGAGGCTGATGACGATATTCGTAAATATCGAATCGCTTATATTATGATTGATTTGGTATTGCAAAATTTCAAAACTCGAAAAGAAAATTCTGAATCTATTAGTAAATATAATGAGTGTGACGAATCTATCGAATCCTACTTTCTTAAGTTATTAAAAGTTCACGCTGTAATGCAACCAATTGCACTCGGTCGTTTAATGGATCTGTACGTTTACTATAGTGGCGAATTAGAGCGTAGGAAAAAGATGAAAGCGTCCGATATTAACAAATTGACCGCTAATACGCGAAGAATTTTAAATTCACTTGATGTTGAGATGCCTAAATATAAATCAAAGAGTAAATCTTTTTTGGATGAGAAAGTTATATCACTTGAAGTAACAAGATTTGCAATTGCACTTCCTCTCGTTTTAAGTGAAGATTTAATATCCACGACTGCACAAATTCCTGCATTCCTTTTTTCAATTTCTTCCATGAATTTCTTGACGAGAAAGTGGAAATCTAATTGTGCAATTCTCAGAGATTTGAGCCTTCAATTTGTTACTCAATTTGACCAAGGAAATGAGAATCATTTTTCATATGATTTTCATACCAAAATGAATTTAATATTAATTCCTGAAATTTCTTGTGAAGGACATACTACTGGTACGATAGATAAGAAAAAGGTTTATGTTGAATCAAGAGTAGAAGGTTTTGAAATAGATGTTGGTGGAAATATTGTTAATCATATAAATAGTCTTGGCGAGATTTACGCAGCGAGTCGAGAAAGGTTAGAAACCTTCACCGCCGAAGCTAATTTTAACCTTGGATCTCAATCACCGAAATCTTCAGAGTCGGAGAATGGTGAATTAGATAATGGTTCAGGTTCTAACTTTATTGAACTCGAAGTTGACGCTACGTTCACGGCCAAAAGTGGTACGATAAAATTATATCCAAAGAATTATTTTACAAAACATCATAGTAGAAGACCGACCGGAAGCAAAGTTCATGATCGTTCAAGATCTGCACGTGGTTCCCATGGAAGCATTGCTTCTATTCCTCTTCCACGTCTTAATTTAGATGGATTGTCCAATTATGCTCCTACAAATTTAGATGATTTGACAAGACAAGGAGAACATGGTATAGATATCATAGTAATACCAGGTCTTAGTTTAAATACCTTTTACCGCACGACAATCGGACAAAGGGTCGTCGTTCCTTCTTCAGATTCATTAACAAAGAGAGTTCATGTTGAACTTATAATTCACCCAAGTAAAAATATGTTTTACCCTTCACTGGTACCATTTTTTAAAGACATTATTGATGGTCTGAAGATTGGAGTTCAACGATCCAGTGATAAGAAAGCAATCGCGGTTCAGGAAAGTTCATCTTCAATTCAAGGCATGAACATAACATGTTATTTCAGACTTTCACGTACTACGTTTGACCTTAGCTGTCAGCCTGCTTCTAAAGTTCTTTGTTCTTTAAAATGGGAAGAAGGAAATTTTCTTATTTCCTCTAATACTGCTGAAGAAGCAGCTCAAAGTGTAACGTGTGTGGGAAAGATTAGGGGCGCCTCTGGAAATATTCGCCATTCATTTTCTCCTGAAGATTGTGTTAAAGCCGAGACAAAAGACATTTCCTTCAATGCAACTTTAATGAGCAGAAGAACGGAAAGTGTCTCTGATGATTCTATTTCTATAATCGTCGAACTACCGCAAATTGCAGCGGATTTAAACATCCGTCATCTTCAAGATTTATTACTTTTAAAGACCATCTGGATCGATCAAGCTACGAAATTATATGAAGTCAGTAGTTTAAACTCTCAGCAACCTTCTCGACCCGTAAGCGGTGAAGATATTAATGGGGGTAAAGCTCCATTATTTCCATCATCACCGACACGCTCTATCACTCCATTATCAGAAAATGAAACAAAGGTCAAACCTTACTCGGTTTATGTGATAGTTAAGTTGAATCAACTAGATTTATCCAGCGATTTAGGTCAAGCGATCGGAAAAATTCGATTTAACACTAAAAACATACAAGTTCGTACGAAAAACGTTCCCGGATCGTTGAAAGAAGCTACCGCTTCTATAGATAATCTTGATATTCAATGTGAAGGTCGTCTCACCGGTTCCGCCAACATGAAAGGACTTACATTTACAACAATTTTAGGAATTCCTCCAAGTTCAGAAACGGATGGTTTAACTTGTGTGACAAATCTGTTGTTTAAAACCGAAAGAATTCAATCTTCTTTGGAATACGAATATCAAAAAATTTTGGTACTGGACGCTGACCCAATGCAATTTAAATTAGCAGATAGTTGGAAAATTATTTCGCCCGAAAAAGCATCGGTTTTGATACATGCGAAAGTTTCTATTAAACGTATTCAAGCAATTGTTTCTATTAAAACGATACCAGTTTTCCTTTATATGATGAATAAACTTTTAAATTTAGTGGAAGAAAAGAGAATTTCTGCCTCTAATGTCATATCAAATTCTAAGCGATCATCTCCTTTGAATCCAAATTCTCAATCGCAAACGATCGAACCTAATAGACTTACCTTACCAGAAACGAGTTTAAAGTCTTCCTCTTTCAAAGAGTTATCAGTTAGAGGGCTATTTGTTTATCCGGTAGGAAAAATAACGATAGCGATGGAGAAAGTACATTTAACTATTTTTCCAAATCATTTCCATGATACAGATTGCGTTCAGACCAGATTTGATGGACTTCTTGTGGATATGAAAAGATCGATTAGAGAAGATAATCGTATTAACAGGGAGCTTGATATGCAGCTCAATGGTATTGCATTATTAAAAAGCAATTGTAAGAAATTAAATCACAAACATGAAAAGTCATTCACATTTCAAAATTGGTTTGATCATGTTGAGACCACCTCTTCAAAGAATATTTTCACTCTTCCGAATACTCATTTAATAATGGATACCACACAAGGTATTGAAAGTAATATTGTGGATCATAAGTTTGCCGTTGACTTTAAAGGAAAAGTTGATGTAGCTTTAAATTTTGGATTAATAAGATATCTTCAAGAATTGGGAGCATCATACAAAGAACAATTAAGAAAGAATGCAGTTGGTACAACCGGAGAACTTCCTAGATCACCAATTATTCCAATTGTAACCCCTTTAACTCCTGGTTCAACACCTATTGAATTTTCTAAATCTGATTCTTTGATACAAGTTCAAACCTCACCAACATTACCTGATTCACCAAAAGAGGTGAAAGCAATTCAGTTCAATGAAAATGAAGATTCAAAAGAATCAAAAAAGAAGGATGCTTTTATTTTTAACCCAATTGAACCAGTAAAATTGGAACCACAATTAAGAATTTTGGGAGATGCCACACCTCCACTAGAATGGGTTGGAGTTCAAAGGGCTAAAGTTCCAGGATTCGTTCATACGGAAATCACAATGAATTTAGATGAAATTATAAATCAAATTACTAATGAATCAGTCAAAGCAGCCAAAGCATTATTATAATTATAGGGTTTAGTAACTATTATAATAATTATTAATTTTAATAATGATTTTGTATTATTCGAGATATTTTTATTTTATTTTTATTTTTTTAGGTTTAAATAATCACTATAATTTAAAAACTTGGAAATCAAAAGGTTAAAATTTTCTCATATAATTCCATCATCCAACTTTATTACTTGTTTCTTTGGTTAGAAGATTAGGATTGATTCGTATGCATTATTATCTATTATTACTAGCAAGTTGATAATTGAAACCATTCAGGTGAATTCTCTATTAAAACGATTCAAGTAAATGTATTAATCATATTAAAAGCTTTATGAAATGATCTAATCAGTATCTTTTTTCTCGAGAAATTAACTCTTACATTATACGAAGTCCTCTAAGAGACTAATTAACAGGTCAATCCAATCTGATATGAAAATCATATAAAAAAAGTTTGCCTAATAAATATTAAATTAATTCTCATTTTCCTAAACTTCGATAGTCACGTAATTTATATAAATTTCAGAACTGGTTCCTTTTCGATTTGTCGTTTTCATTCAATTTTTGCAGCGTTTGTTTTGTTATTTCTGTGTCTTGAGTGTAAAGTCTATATCACGAATTTGACTATATTGATCCATATTTTCGTTTCTTTCTTAGTACTTTGTATTTATCTAAATTTTCATTCTATGTAATAGATTTTTATTTCATTCCAGAACAAAGAAAGTTCCGCTTAGTCATTGGCACTTGTCTTTATTAACTATCGCAAAATCTCATATTTTGCGTTACTTATATATGTAAGAATTATTTTTAAAAACAAAAAAGAAAAAATTAATTGTAAACAAATGAAATGAAAAAAGTAATTTTTTAGATTATATATATGTATATATAATATATATTCATTTCCTACCATATGTAGCAGGATATTCATTTTTTTTTTTTTTTTTTTTTTTTAAAAGGATGATAATAATAATAATAATAATAATAGTAATTATTTGTTAAGATCCAAAAGTTCATTTAACAATATATCCACAAACTTTCATTTATATTTCTATGTTTCCAAGGATTTTAACATATCTACAATTTCTAAAAACGAATCCCCAATGGTTCTTCCTTGATTTTCGAGTGAAGAGGAACTCATTAACATTTGTCCACTTACGTGACCATTTGCCGTTGCCTCTTCACCGACTAATTCATTGAAATGTACGAACTGCTGCAGAAGATTAATTAAAGAACTGACCGATCGATCCGGCAATCGCTGTAAAAGAAGAATCAATTGCAAATTAAGGAATAAAATCAAACAATACAAAATTAAAACTATAATGGTTTTGATATTAATATATAAGAGAAGGATATCAATTATCAATCGTTGATTATAATCGTTATTTTTTATTAATAAGCCAAGCAATACAGCCATATATGCTGCCGCGATATTGCTATCAGTCTGTAAAATGAAAAGAAAAATGAAAACGAAATTTCGTTACAAATTATTAAAATGTTCCACAGAAACGAATTGCAATAACAAACCTTATCATCATCTTTTCCAAGCTGATAGTTATATAAGGAAACAAGACAAGATACAGCCGATACACGCGGCAAACATGTACAAGTACGCATACACTTTCGCGAACCAGGACACATTGGATATTGATCTAATTGATTCATATTAGAGAAGATTAAAATATCGACAAATAAATAATTGATTTATGAATATCTTAAAAACACTCACCAACTTTCCGGAATTCATCTTGGTTATTTGGATCAGTTTCAACCAAATTGATGAGCAGCCCAATACTAAGTAATAACACATCAAACTTGATAGCATCTACAGATTCTGAATTCTCGATACTATCTATTTCCATCATGAAAGGAACCGTATTATTTATAATAGACTCTTCCCTAGGAAGTTGTCCAACAGTGGCCAATCTCATCAAAATCGACATTCCTAATTGAGACCCAACATATTGACAAGCAGATAGATTTTCATTGGTCAAATTAATCAATACTTTAAGAGTGGCGAGTAAACATTCTAATACTAGAAAATATAAGTCGTAATTTAGCAAATATATATACAATATGTTTATATTGCAACATAAAAAAATCTTTGTTATTAATTTACCTAAGGATAATACTTCTGCACTATTATCAAAGGATTCTACTTGACAATATAGCAATAATTCTAAAAGCATGTGTAAAATATCTCTATCTTCTACTATATATATTTGATTTTCAGAACAGAAAAGAGTAGCACACTCTAAAATTTTCAAACACTGTTCAATTAATTTAAAATCTAAGGTATCTTGTTGTGAGCTCTTCCAATATATATAAAAAATTTTGATTAATTATGCTAAACATTTGATTTAACGGACTTATTTGAATATAATGAAAATTCATAAACTCACCTTACCATTCTCAATTGCTGATAATAACCCATCTACTAATTCAAGTTCAGATTTTAGGATTTTAATCACTGCTAGTAACCCTCCTGAAGTGCGCATTCTTCTTTTTATTTCATTTTCATGACGAGTTTTTAATGTAGATAGGGAAGAAAGTATACGAAGAGCTATGGATTTAAGCGAAATCTATTATGAAGAATAGCAATAATAAGCGCTTTAATAAGATTCAGTTCTTCAGAATAAATAAAGAATAATAATATTACTATTATTCCTACCTGAGAATTCTCCTTGAAGATTGTTGATTTAAGTATAATTTCTTTAAAGTCATCAACCTTTAAACATATATATATATATAAACGGAAAAAAAATACATTAATAAATGACATTGCACAAATTAAATATATTTGTTAATTAAGCATTATTTACCAATAACTTTTCCGGTTTTTTCAAGGAATCGTAATCAGTGCTCAAAGGATCTGATGAGGAGTTTAATAAATTCACAATAAATCCCACAAAATCGTGTTCCTTAATCAAATGAATTGAACTATTTTTGTCCTCCATAAATATACATATGATGAATGAAAATAAACATCTAATTAACTATATAAGATGATATTATATTAATAAAAAAATATATTTATTAAACCATTTGTATATTAAGGAATCATGACTCTTACCGAATCTTGATTTCTATCTAATATGGTATAAATTTTAGAAATATAATTATGTGCACGAATTTTGAGTAGAAAATCGCCATCCAATAATTTTGATAACAGATCCATCACACTGAAAACAAAAATAAGTTAATTTCTAAAAATAAGGAAAATGTTTGAAATTTTATTGAAAAAACTTACCTGTTTCTACGAACATTTATTGATCGATTTTCAATTCCGCCGAAAATATAGTCCATTTCATCTGTGAAGCTTGTGTTATCTCCAACTTCGCGAAGTTCACGTGAACTTTTCAATAAAATTTTTTTTCTCGATTTATAGTGTTTTAAAGCATGTTTCTTAGGCGTCTACAATGAATACAGATATCAATTATAATTCTTAAGTAAACGATGAATTAAATTTACAAACCAGATTGTCATTAATGTCATCATCAGTTAGGTCCATGTCAAAGCTGGTCCGTGAAGGAATGAATTGATCAATTAAAATCGAATCTAAATCTTGCCCTAAAATTGTTCGACCTTTTCCATAAGTCTTTTGACCACCAATAGCACTTCCACCAGAAATACTATATGAAGGTGAAGCAGTGCTTGGAAAACCAAAAACGGATTCGGAAGACGCCGATTTTGTAGCAGTTTTTGTTGTCGTGGAATGTTTCGTTCTTCGAATTTTTCTATCATATGTCATTGTAATTTTGGGTTTTGGCATTGTTGTGTAGTTTGTCATGTGAGCTGTGTTTATCTAATAATAAATCAAGTAAAAGCAGTTAGTAAAATAAACTTAAACTGTTTGTTAATAGCTTGCATTTTACAAACTTTATCAAAGGTTATGGCATTATTTGCATGAAGTTGTAATAGTGTTTTCAATTAATTTCAACCTACAGCTCTGTATTTGGAATCTGTTTTAAAGAAGTTGAAAACATTTAGCACAGAGAGTAAATACGAAAGGGGCTAGAATTTGTTCTACGTTAACCATATTTACCTAACATAAAGAGCAAGGCTAACGAGTTCGGTGTACTAATCGTTTCTGGAAAGAAATTAACTTTCGTTTGATCTTAAAAAAAAATATAATGATCGTTTTTGTTTGTGTAATATAATTTGAGAGTTTTTAGAAGTTACACGATCTTGTTAACGACAATGTTTTTGATTCTCCAATCAAAATCGTGAATTTTGAAATGCAAACAAAGAGGTTAACTAAATCAATTAGCAGTTAATAATTTTTTTGGCTCAAAATGATCGACTGTCAATTATTACATATCACATCCATGATCCCTTAATAAGAAATAAAAAAGAAAACTGTTAATTTCATTTTTATTTTTAAAATAAAATAACTTAAAAACTTTTAATACATTTCTAAAATCAGTTAATATAATAAAACAATTAAAAAGTAAGTACTTATTAAAATACTTATTATTATACAAAAAAGACTTTGAAGATCAATATTACAAAAATGATAATGATCATTTAGAAGTTATTAAACTTCTTTATATTTTTATATCTTTTATATCTTTTATTTCTTATATATCATATATTATTTTATTATTTTTATTTCTTTTTATTTCTTTTATTATATATATATTATTTATTATATTTATTATATTTATTCTTTTTTTCTTTTATATATATTCAATTTTATATAAATACGATCAACTTTTAATATGACAAACTCTTAATATAATGAATTTTTTAAACAAATATAATAAAAATACTCTTATTATATCAAACTGACCAATTAAATCTCTTAAAATCCACTATAACTTTATAACAAAATTGAGATCTAGAACATAAGATTCGTTATAACAAGAGTTAACTATACAAATATAAAATTTTAGTTAGTAAAGCAGTGTTCTAAAGTTTATTTTTATTCTTTAAAATATTTATATAATATACAGTATGGAACAAAAAAAAACAGAATTTTTTAAATACACATTATGCAAAAACTAACAACACTAACTACATAAAATTTATATATATTTGAAGCTAAAAACTAGCTAATTTTATTAATATTTTTTAGAATGGAATTTGTTCACCATTATTTTCTATAATAAGTTTACATCAGCATTTCATTGATTCTATTAACTCAATTAGGGTCAATTCTGAAATATTATCCCATTTTTTGATCATATATCAACGCAAATCATCAGTATTTTTTAGCATTTTTTTCTTCACATTTTTTTTAACAATACTTCAAAGGTTTTCTATCAGATTTAGATCTAAACTGTTAAAAGTCAGTCAATAACTTCAGAAAAATTTTCCCAAAGAAATTTTTTGGCATGATTGCTAGTGTGTTTTAAATCATTGTCTTGCTGAAAATGCCATTTATCTTCCAACAAGTCTTCAATCTCTGAAAGGTAGCTACAGAGTATGTTTACATAAAATTCAGCATTTATTATTTGAGAAAAACAATATAAATTTGTTTTTCCTTTTACATAAAATCCTTCTCATGCAAAGATTTTTATTCGATCTTTAAGTATAAGGCATATCGGTTATTGTTCTTTATATCAGCGCTTTACAGTATTTTAGAACAGTTAGAAGGCAGTCTCATCTGAAAACAGAGTTTTATTCCAATTATCATTAAATGATTTTGGGCCTATTCTATGCGTTTACATTTATAGTCTGTGGTTAGCATTAGTGTTACTCTTGAAAGGTCTTTTTAGTATCTAATTTTGACTAAATGCCTTCCTACTGTTCTATAGGACACATCCACACCTTTCAATGACAACCTTATTGACAAGATCTTTGTTGAAATAGAAGAATCCTGGCAGACAAATTGGACTAATACTTTTGATGCATTAGTTGTAATCTTTTTTAGATAATCACTTTCTTTTATATACTGAATCATTTCAGACTCACAAAGCTTGGTAAGGTTATCGTATATAGTTGTAAGGGAAATTTCAATGCGTTAATAAATTTTCCTAGCCTTTTGAATATTCTGATTTTATAATTGTAAGATCACTTGATGGTTAGTTTCTTGTCTAAAGATCATTGTTTCTAATTAATTGATTTTTAGGGTTTTTTTTAAAAAATTGAAGATATTGAGAGGAGGAAATAAATAAAAAATTTTAATATTTAGTAATATAAAAAAAATTATATATTCACTTACCTTATGATTATTTTCCTTTTATATAGTTCAGATCAGACTTGATTTAGCTAAGATCTGTATCTTTTTATTTTTCAAAAAAAATTCTAGTTTTTTTTGTCTCACACTGTAAAGTGTTGACTAAGATAATACTTATTTGTTCACATTATTAATAAACTAACTATCATTAATACTACCTTTATATTAATTATAAATTTAACTAACTACTTATAATTTGATAATATTGCATATACTTATTACTTATAAGCATTATAAAATCTGATTGTAATATTATTTAATTTATATTTTATTAATAAAATTAAGTTTAAAATTTAGTTATTTTAATTATAAAAGATATAATGTATATATCAAAAGTAAATTTATACTTTATGCTTATATAATTATATAGATTAATAAGATTTTAATATTTTTAAAAATTATAAATTACTAGTTATAATTGATATTATAATTACAAATTTTGTAATATTAAAGGAATTATTCATAAAAATATAAATACATTTATTTTCTTACTAATTTAAAATAATATATACAATCAGCTCTCTCTATAATTACATTCTTAAAGTCTATCTAGTAGTGTGATTATATAAAAATATATTTATACAAAAATAAGAACTTATAATTATATAATAGATCTCTCTAATTAAGTTAATGTAATTATGCTAATGTTACAGTCAGTTCTTTAAGATGCTTATGAGTGATAAGCAAAGCAATATTTATGGGTGGTAAGCAGAAGGTTTAATTTGATATTTAGATTTAGAAAAGTGTCAGTAAATTAACAGTTTATTTAATAACTATAACAATAGAATACTGCCTCAGTCAGCGCTCTGTACTATACAATTATGTTAGAGGGATTAAACTAAACTATTATATAAAAC